GTTGTTGATTCCAAACAGATTCAGGAAATATGGGGTGTTATGTGAGTGAGGCTTCCGACATCTGTCAACATTTTCCGATGTACCCACACACCTAAATGTCAACACGTTGGTTTATCTTTCAGGCTGAAGTCCCAGATTTCATCTGAAAGAAATTGTCAGAATAATTTGCTGTTAAAAGAACTCAGTTTGTTCTTGGGTGGGAGAGGCTGGACATTGATAGAACCGATTTTTAATTGTGATCCAGATATTCTGCCCAGCAACAAACTCCCAGATGCTGCGTGCGTCTGTTTTTTTGTTGAGGAAAGTCACGGGGTGAAGGCATGCAGTTGGCGAGGGGCAGAGATTGATGATGCCATTTGGAGCTTTCAGGAATGACTTGCTGCAACTAAAATAACTGCACTTTTCCAACAATGTCCCTTGAGTGCTTGCCACATTTACTGTCGATGTCTTAAATCACTCTGGACAACTGTTTTTGTCGTCTTAAAGTAGCTAGCAGCAGGTTTGGTGTAATGTTGCTTCGCTTGTAACATTGCTCACAGGATTAGGATCACAGGTTTTTCTTTCAGTAAACTAGCCGCACTGCTGGAACGAGAGCCACAATTGAATCGTTATAACAACTGCAGTTGAACCTCGTCTTGTGGTACCTCAGTAATGAGGGTAACTCACTAGTCCGGACACACTATTGTCTCGCTATTAAGGCAAAATAGAGCCATGTATTGATTGCCTTTAACACCAAGTTTCCATAGCATTAGCAATGCAAAGTGAAACTTGTGATGTGCTTGTAGCATTAAAACCATAGAAATTTACAGCCCAGAAAAATGTTATTTGGCGCATCTTTATTTGTGTTGGCTCTTTGAAAGAGCTATCCATTCAGTCCCATTTCGCTGCCTTTCTCCCGTGCCCCTGCAAATTATTTTTTTAGATATGTATCTTCAGTAAATGCCTGATAACTCATAACTCCAAGGGAAAAGAACTCAGTGACGAGTTTTCCAGAGTGGCACATTAGGTATGTGTATAAATACATAAATAAATGCGGTCAGGATATTGTCAGCATGATGACTTAAGTGGTAGTGACAAGTTAAGCCAGGGTCGAGTCACCAGGAGTTTACTATAGTTCCCTCGGTTGAATTTGGATTCTGCCGCAACTACCCTAAGGAAAGTCTCATTCCCAGATGCAGCGTTTATACACAATTTTAATTTAGTGATTTTACTGTTTTATTTTACGTTTTAAAAAAATCCCAGTCTCTCTCCTCTTTCCCCTCCCCCCTCCCGTAAAGAGGAACTGGAGTATAACAAGTAGGAGCTGCTGTGTGGTTGTGCCAGTGTTTTAATTGGATTTAAACCAATTCGAGTATTGCTGGTGCACAATCTTGACCGGGTGCCTTCCCCCAGCTATCTTCACTGAGCGGGTATGAATTGTACTGCTTCTGACACCAATATTTTCTGGAGTTGGTTCCAGATCGATTTGTCCTACGTTATCTGCCATTTGTATTCCAGCTTGGCAGTGAATTCCAGAATAAGTGCATCAAAATTAATCAGCTTGTTTGAATATTTTTGCATCTCTAAATAACCATGAATAAACCACAAGACAAACTAGGGCTGTTCAGTCTCGAGAGAAGATGACTTAGAGTTGCACAACATTTTAAATGAGATTCAAAAAGTAAGGAAGGAAAGTTGGTAGAGGACAGGACACTGGATTCATTTGAAAAGCAGCTTGATGCTGTGATGGGGGGGAAACTATTAACAAACTGTTCTGGATTGATAAGTTGCCCTTCCTTTCAGTAGCTTTGATGCCTGTAAATGTGGTCAAGGTCATGCAATATTTATTAATATTTAAAAAATATTAATTTGTGGCTAACTTTCTTCACTCTTTTAAAGGAAAAATCTCCCCTCTGAGCCCTGCCAGGGGAACGCCAAGTGGTTTATCTGGTACCAGGTTCCAGTAGTCCCACACTAACCGAGCCTGGGAGGGCGTAGGCTGACAAAGACAACAACTTACATTTATGTAGTGCCCCTCATGTAGGATAGGGACTTGGAGAGATGAAAGGCAAGAGAGCAGCCTGGACAGTTCTCCTCTTCTTGCCTGCGTGCAATGACACAGCCAACGTTGAGAATTGGAACCTGTGGCTTGTTACTCAGTGCTGCCACATGTTGGCCGTCAATTTCATCTAAGTTCACCAAGTTGAGACATGTTTCGGGTACCAAGCACTCCCAGATCAGATATAGCGTGGGTTCAGTGCAGAGTACAGCTTCCTCTACCCTGCCCCAACAGTGGACCCTTAACCCCAGTCTTAGAGAAGCATCCCCTACTGGATGAGTGTGGAATTTCCTTCTCCCTTCCACAGGTGTCCACTCTGAACAAGCTCATCAATTCTATCTAGTTCATTGTACTTAAGCAGAATTAAGGGTAGTTTTGTCCAGTGAGCAGTGTCCACTAGAAACTGGATTGAAACGGGAATCATGTTTTAAGTGCTTTGTATGTAAGGGTAAAAGGCAGTAGTACAGAGTAATCTATACGAACAAGCTATTGCAACACAGTGATTACTGGTTTCTTGGGGTCAGATTATTAATTTTTAAGTTTAATTCATTATGTCAAATGACCATTTTTGTTTGGGAGGGGAGTTCATTTTGCAATCTGCATTTCAAACAACAGACCTTTCCCACAGACAGTAAAACAGTTATTAAAATTCTGCTTGTCTTGTTTCACTCGTTTTTCAAAGAAATCTTCACGGTATAATGTATGTTTTTCTGGATGTGTGCAGGCATTTAGACAAACCTTTCTCAAGCGGTTGCAATCATTACTTTGAACATTGAGGCTTCAGATGCATTAATGAATGCAGGTTCCTGGTTTTGCCCGGTAATTATGCAAAAGAAAAATTGCTCACTCGCCGTAGGTTTGTTGGAAACCTGGTTTCAGAGAAAGTTGCTGTTATGAACCCAGCAACTGGATGTTAATAACACATTCATAAAGCTTTGTATGGCAGATCTCTGTCTGCTTATTATTAACATTCCACACGTCCCTCCATCACAGAGTTGTGTATAATTTCATACACTTTTGCTGGCAAATAGGCAGTTTTTCCCAGAATCCTAGCCAACAATCCTCCCGATAAATTGATCATGAATCTCACGATTATTTTGGGGGCATTGCTGGCTATCCTTTTTGGCTGCAAAACAGCCACTACTTATGTTTCGCCCACAAAATACATAGTCAATCCACTTTACAAGATATCCTGTGAAGCATTTTGAGACATGTCAAAGATATGATAAGACACTATATCAAATGCAAGGATTATTATTATTACTTATGAAGCGCTTTGATATGTTTCACACTAGAAAACTATATCAGGAGCTTCTGTGCCGACCTAGGGTGAATTCTATTCTCTTTGAATGAAAAGCAATCACAAACAACAACAAGATTACATTTGTCTAGCGCCTTTCACATTGGGAGGACTTTCCAAGGTGCTGTTCAGTGTACAGCATTTCAGACAACAACAACAAAAAGATTCCATTTATAGAGCGCCTTTCACGTCGGGAGGACGTCCCAAGGCGCTGTACAGTTGGATCAGGACCCGAGCAGAGGGGAAATGGTCGGTGAAGGGAGGGAAGGGGGGGAGCGAGGAGGGAGTAGAGAGTCGAGAGGGGAGCTGAAGGCACGGTCAAAGAGAAAGGTCTTGAGACCGGCCTTGAAGGAGGAAAGGGAGGAGGCGGCGAAGGCACTGGGGAATGGAGTTCAAGAGCCTCGGGGCTGAGAGGCTGAAGGCCCGGCCACCGATGGTAGGGCGGTTGGGGCGGGGGATGTGGAGCAGACCGGAGCCAGAGGAACGGAGGGGACGGGCATGTAGGTAGGGGGATAGTAGGTCGGAGAGGTAGGAGGGAGCAAGGCTGTGAATGGCCTTGTAGGTGACGATGAGGATCTTGAAATTGATTCTCTGGGGGATGGGGAGCCAGTGGAGGCGAGCGAGGGTGGGAGTGATGTGGTCCCGAAGCCTGGTGCGGGACAGTACACGAGCTGCAGAGTTCTGAAGCTGGGGTCAGGTGGGCGAAGAAGGGAGGGGAGGGGAAGAGGGGTGACCAAAGGCATGGTTGAAGAGGAGGGTTTTGAGGCAGGACTTGAAGGAGGCTAAGGAGGGGGTGAGGCGGAGTGATTGTGGGATGGAGTTCCAGAGGTTGGGGGTGGAGTGGGTTCAGGCTCTCCTGCCAATGGTGGGGTGGGTGGGTTGGGGGACGTGTAGCAGGCCAGAGCCAGCTGAGCGGAGGGAGCGGGCGGGTTGGTAGGGGATTAGGAGGTCACAGAGATAGGGTGGGGCGAGGCCATGGAGGGCTTTGTAGGTGACCAGGATTTTGAACTGGATCCTCTGAAGGATAGGGAGCCAATGGAGTCTACCAATGGGAACCAAGTAGACTTGATTCACAAATGAGAAGGAAGATGCTGGATTTTAACATTACGCTAATCACTACAAATAGAGTTTATTTTTTGTCTTTATATCGAGATATCCTGTTATAAATATTCAGAGAAAAAGATCACTAATCTTAGCAATTGGTGTATGATATACTGACAATACTCAGTTATTGATGTCTCTACCCTGTGTAATTATAACAAAATGTCAAAATAATTAACACTTACAAATCATAACTTCCTTAAAAGCAGAACCATCTAACAGAATACTTTATTAGTTACAATGGAGAGACTTTAGAACCCTCACCATAGCTGTGGCTTTCAAAGTTATGTTGAATACTTTATGAGCCGTAATCATTGACTGCAAGTCATCGCTAACGTACCTTCAAGTAAATGATGTGGGGGTGGGGTGGGGGGGAATGATTCAAATGCTCTCCCAAGGATTTTTGTACCAACTAGGTAAAGGCAAACTGCTGTCATGGATAGTTCAGCAGGTCAAAGGCATGTTAAATCAAGCCCACCCACCTCTCACATTTTCTCTTCCCCCCCCCCCCCCCCCCATGTGAAGTGTTTTTCTTGACATTGTGTCCTGTTTTGTTTCCAGATTGAAATGACGGTCCTTCTTAAACCACTGTCAGACAAAATACAGGAGATCCAGAACTTCAGAGAGAAGAACCGTGGCAGCAAGTTGTTCAACCACCTGTCAGCTGTCAGTGAGAGTGTCGCTGCTCTTGGATGGGTTGCAGTGGTGGGTAGAAAGTGTCTGCTGTTCATTTAAAGCAGAGCGTGGCTGATTGAGTCAATGCAGATGCTGATCAATGTGATGGGCAGACGGGCGGGGGAGGGTGGTGCTTGTCGCAGGCCTGATTTCAGTGTGATTTGTTTCTAACAGAGCAGTCTCAAATTTGTTCATAAATTTAAACATGAACCCACATTTGTGGCGTTTTGAAAAAAAATATATAAAATGGAAAGAATCCTGCAGTTTTACAACACAGAAAGGAAGTGGCCATTTGCCGGTGCCAGACTCTGAAGAAACTAGTTATTTAATCTCACTGTCTTGCCATTTTCCCTACCCTTTTAAATTCTACTTTACAAATCTCTGCTCTAATGCCATTTCAATAACTATTCTGCAGTCTGCATCAACCACTGTGGTTTGGTTGGATACCTTGAGTGATTCTGGGTCTGTAGTCTTAATATCTTGCATTCAGATTGTGTGAACAAAGGTCAGATTTGTACAACGTCACAATCCAGTGAGGACTGAAAGGCAAAAGGCCTGCTGAGTTCTAAATTGGTAGGGTGGAGGAGGGGGAGGGCGGTTGAGCAGGCTTAGAGATAGAGCACAGCCCATTGAGTGCTATTAGTAGTGTGTGGATGGCTGCTGCAAATCGATGTCAAGGATGGTATCTATTCCTGAATTCTCATAAGCAGTGGAAGGAACTCAGTGATGAAGAACAGAAGTCAGTGCCAAAGATAGTGCTCGTTTAAAAACTGATTGGTACTGGTTAAAACAACAGTAAATTTGTTAGTACAGAGCTTTCAGGTGACTCAGGCCAACAACATGACTAAAAGACTAAATTTCTACCCATTGCAGGTTGGTGGGTTATATGACAATCGTCTTTCCAGTGCATTTCATTGCTTCCAATTATAGATTTTGTTTGCATTGATCATAGCAAACAAATGAACAAGATCCATGATTACTTCAGTCAGGTTATGTTTTTAACGTATAAGATTCTGAAGTATTTTCAGAGTATCACTTTATTTCAAATGCCAGTTCTATTCCTTACAAAGTGCATTTGCCTTTTATAACACATTCCTCTTCTTAATACTGCATTCCACTATGCTGACGTTCTATATGCTCGTATTTCCTGCTTTTGTAAGAAGCCTTGATGTTTGCAAAGTAATGTAATGTTTGTAACTTTGGGTCATTCTGCCTTTTTTCTCCTTCTGGATGGAATTCTGGTTTGTGTTAAGTTTTTTGGTCGCAGCCAGGGTTGCATGGGATGCTAAATAGCCCTTGGCCTTTCCAGGATTAATGGAGGAGAAACACCCAGGGTTCCTGCTCCTGGTTCCTCTACAGCATCCTCTATTGGCTGTGCATGTGTTTGGCAACCAGGTGGGGAGAGGTCAGGCTCGGCTATGAAACTCTCTGCAGTCGAATAGCCTGCCGATCCTCACTGCCAATTCTCGCACATGATCAATGCCCACTTGGGCGGGGTACCAGAGGGCAACCAGCAACCATGAACCCATACACCAGCAAGACAATGCCAGACATACGAACATAGAAACAGGAGTAGGCCATTCAGTCCCTCGAGCCTGTTCTGCCATTCTATTAGATCATGGTTGATCTGTACCTCAACTCCAATAACCCGCCTTTGCCCCATATCCTTGATACCCTTACCTAACAAATATCTATCCACCTCAGTCTTGAAAATTTGAATGGATCCAACATCCACAGCCTTTTGGGAGAGAGAGTCCCAGATTTCCACCACCGTTTGCGTGAAAAAATCCTCTTGGTTCCTCCAGACCAAGAGTGAAGAGGCACATGCCAATGGGAAGAGAACATTTAGCGAAAAAATTGGGCACACTAATTTTTTTTAAAAAAACTTTTAGAAATGACCAAATGTGTCATTTATCAATCAATTGTGAATCATTCCCTGATAAGATGGAACAGTTACCTGATTTGCTTTTGAATTGATTTTGTAAGGTTTAACAGGCGGAAAACATCAAGGCTTCCAGGATATTCTGCTTTGGTTGATTTCTAACTGGGTGAACATTTAACAAAGGGATTTCGTGTGTACCTAAATTTTCTTCTAAACTTTCTTGCTTTTCTGTATTTCTTTTCTTTCCACCAATCCTCTCATCCCAATGCTGCTGCTGGTTGCTGTTTCATTGGAAACTTAGGTTCCAAAGCCTGGTCCTTATGTCAAGGAGATGAATGATGCTGCCACCTTTTACACCAACAGGGTGTTAAAGGAATACAAGGACAAGTAAGTTAGTTGTCTTTCTTAGAATCCTTGCCTCAACCAATGCATGACATGTGTTATGATTAAATCTGAAGCCTTGTAGCTTAATATATGTTGAAAAAACTGAAAATGAATCTCCCAAACAAGTATTTAAAATGCAAGGTGGAATTTTTAAAAGACTTAAGATCGTGATAATTCAAGATTGAATTGCTAAGTCCTAGCAGTGCTGCCTTCGGTGGTCATCTTCAAATGTAACTCCACCTCTAACTTCTGAGACTCCCTTTCTCTACACCTCCATCTCACCCCCCACCCCAATCTGTCCTAAAATCCCACCTACAAACCTCGGACTGAGCCTACAGTAGATGCTTAATGCCTGATAGACGCTTTTCTCACCCCATTACTCTGCCCTCCATTCCTCTTGATTCCAATTCCCAGCGAGCTCAATCAATTATACATCTCTCCCCTCATCAGCTTTTTCACAGAGCAACACCACTTCAAACTTATTTCACTTTACAGTTGTGATTCCAGCGAAACATGTTGAACGTGGATAAATTGCGCAACAAGAGATTGATTTCACAAGTGGGTTCGGGAATATTCTGTCCGGCAAATGTATGGATTCCAAAGGACTTTGTCCCCTGTGCACAAACAAAAGGATCTTAATTTCACAACACTTTGAATTTGGCTTGGGATTCTGCCCTCTTCCTTAATTCCCAGATGTGATTAATAATAATCAGATCTATCACAAGAGTTTTTTTCCCTGCCCCCCCCCCCCCAATCCCACCACCAGTGGCATTTGTTGAAAAAGTAAGTCACTTTGGCATCTTTGATGCTGTACTATATAAACTCTTATTCTGTATCAGGTTTGAATGCTACCAATGGGCTTTACTGCATTACAACTCTATTCATTGCCAAATTACATTTGTTGAGATTAAACCACTCTATAAAAAGAGTCCTTTGTTTGACTTTTTATGCATACTGCCCAAAGTGTGGATTACAGTTTTCAATTGTACTTCTGACAAAGAGCATGTTGTACATCGTGCTGCCCTGTGCCTTATGGCACGTGTTTTTAGACTTGGCTGTCTGAAATTCTCTGTAGGAGCCCCTCTGGCTGCAACAGGTGCAACTCAAGCTTCTGACAACAAGCATGAAATGGAAAATAATTTTTTTTTTTTAATTGCGATCATTACAGAAAGACTTTTTTAATTCAGAAACATTCTTCGACTGCACTTAATTGAAATCTCAAATGTGTCTGTGTATAAATCTATGGAGAAATATTCTACCTTTATGTAATAATAATAAAAATCCTTGCATTTGATATAGCGCCTTATCACATTGTGTAGATGTCTTAAAGTCCGTCACAGAATATACTGTAAAGTGAATTGATGGTATATTTTGTTGGTGAAATGTAAGTTAGTTAATGAACGTAAGACATGTTTTCAGGATGTATGTTCACCTAATGCATCGTATGACCAATTTATTTCTCTGAGCCCAATGTATTTCCCTCCTTCATACCCCCACCCTACCCACCACCCTCTAACTATTGTTTTTTTGATTTTTGTTTCCTTCCATTTGCATTTGTGAAATTTGCATTTTCTGTAGTTTCTTAAAAGAAACTTAGAGAAGCACAGCTTCAAAATTATAGCTCTACTTAAAAAAATGTCAAATTCTGGATGTTCTGAAATGCTACATAAGCCGAGTAAATCTGGACCCAGGTAGAATTTCTCTCTTTTAAGTATTTTGTGATAGTATGACTTAACTGTATGCAACTCGTCCCAAAAATGACACATCACACATTGACATTTCAGAAATACTGGAGTTTCTTTCAGATACAAGTCACTGGCAGCTATAAACATTGCCAAGTACTTGCAGTCAGACTATACTTGCTGAACCAATCGTCCAAGTTGCCTAACTGTGTCAAAAGGGCAAACAAATATTCAGAGGGTTTGTATGTGGACGTCTGACTGGAGCTGGGGGAGCCTAGGGAGAGGGCTGCTGATGGTTACAAGCTGTTCAGTACCACATTACAAACTGTCCAAAGGATAGTCTCTCGGCCAGTGGAAAAGTTACTAATATCAACAAACAGCTGGTGATCACAGCAAAGGCTTAAGAATCTTGGGGATGACGGCCGCAGCAGTACAGTATTTGTCATCCAGTATGTCAGACTCTGTATAACTCTCCAAGTCTAATTGCTCTTCACGCTCTCCTGTTTCATGCTCTTCTTACCTTTTCTCTTCTTGTTTATTCTGTTACAGTATATTCTGTGAATAGAGAATAAATCACCACCAATACCAGTGTCTTTGCTCTTTACCAATGTTTATTAGCTGACGGGAAGATCTCTTTTTCCTTTTGAATAATAATGTTCCGTTTAGTGGCCCAGGTAAGAATGTAGAATATCCAAGGAAAAGAAGCACTTTGGGTGGTCTAGGTTGGTATTTGGACTGTGTTAGGAGGCACTCTACTGCTAGGGATCTAAGACTCTGCTATCCTTAGGATGAGACATTGCTTGGAGTATTGAGTTGGTGTTGTTCTCTTGCTTCTAATACCCTATGAGAAAAATTACTGCTAAAATATCAATACTGGCCCCTCTAGTTCCATGAAAGACTTTTATGAACCAATTTTAATACATTGTACATTGTATTTAAATTTAAATTTGTTCATAAAAGCCCATTATGGAACAAAAATCCTGAAACTCATCCACCCACTCTAGTAGTCAGTTATGGGGAAACAATGTTAACATTTGTGCTATCCCTGCCTAATTTGCATCATGTAGACTTAAGAATTTTAATAACAGAAATGTAAAAATCAGGCTGCTTTGTTTCAAGTTATTTGGATATATTTACAAAAAATAAGTTGCTGCTTGATATGCGTCATTAGTGTGAATGTAAAATGACATCTCTTCCCTTGTATTACAATAGGATATTCTGCAGATCCTTAATGGTCTCTTCAATCTCTGTTTTGCCATAGTGATAAGAGGCATGTAGAATGGGTCAAATCCTTTCTCACCATCTGGACACAGTTACAAGCGTACATCAAAGAGTACCACATCACTGGGCTCTCCTGGAATAACTCTGTAAGTATATTCTCGTTTTAGTCTGCGTGGTTACAATGATAAAGTGCGGTGAAAATGGCTGCGTGTGAAAAAGATCAAATTTATCAAGATATGAGAGAGTTGGGAGGAATACATTGCTACTAATTTGGTCACTCAATCCACGACTGTTTGTGGGATACTGCTGTGCGCAAATGGCTACCACGTTTCACCCACTAAATATATAGTCACTACACTTTACAGGATATTCTGTGTAGTACTTTGAGACGTCTTGAAGACGAGATGAGGCGCTATATCAAATGCAAGGATTATTATTTGGACGCTGGAGAAGTACTCAATCTCAGTATATAGTATTAGCTTAATGAACTCTCAATGGTTGGTTCCTCAATCTATATTTTTGTTAAAATAATCATCTGTCTGAGTGTGTAAGTCCTAACCCTCGTTATCAACAAGATACAAAGGACCAACATTATGAATACTGTTGTGATTAACAGATCCAAAATATTGCAATGACTTTTATTTCCTGTTTCAAAAGATATGTATTAAAATACACTCCATTTATTCTAGCACCATCGGAGGCAATTTAGTGGTACATTCTTGTTTTAATAATTTAATGTGTCCAATTATTCTTTTCTAATTTTCTCCATCTTGGTGCTGGACACCGGTCTCCTGTATCTAGGATCAGTTACACCGGCATAGGTTCCCCAATGGAAACCCATTGTTTATGCATGAGCATTGGCACTGCATGTTGGATTTCAGATGGTTGGGTTACAGCCAGCTGAGACTGACCTCTCCCCACCGAGCTGCCATGTGCGGGCAACCAGTAGTAGGTGCTGCAGAAGAACTAGGAGCAAGAACTGTGGCTAGGACTATTGTAGCCTTTCAATGCTACCCTGGCTGAGATCAGCAAACTCAGCACGGACCTGATTCAAACCAGCAAGCTCCTGGTCCATAAGCTACGGCTCTATTCACTGCACCATCGGACCTCTTATGTACAATATTCGTCACATTCAAATATTCGGTAACCATACCAGAGATGAACACCCCATTTCCCCCCTAGCAATATTCCCCTGATTATGTCCTCCGTAGCAACAACCATGAAGCCGGGACCATGGGATTGCATTGCACTTTCAGATTGTAGCTTGTGACTGCTGGTTAATGGGATATTCGCTATTTCCATGACCTGGCAGTCAAAAGCCATGAACTGAAGTTAATTTAAATTTAATGCTTCAGTGCAACAACCACCATTGAGAACAAAGTGGGAGAGGGGAGGGATTGCCTCCGGCACATCTTAGTACATTTCATATAATGAATAGTAAATGTATCGCTAAATCGACCCCATTGTATCTTTCATTATTTTCAAATGTGAAATCGACTATAAAATCTCCTCAGATATAAGGAATGAAAAGTAAGTCTAGGAAGCCACTTGATGTTTAGTAAACGTCATGTTATTCATTTAAAGAGGGTGACATTTGCGAAAGACCTTCAGTTTAGAACTCATTCATCCCATTGAATGTAAGATGATCTTTTATAAACCTGCAATAATTCATTTGGCTTTTAACGCATGGCGAAGAACAAACAGGAACAGTGGAGCCACATGGGGATGTGGCAGAACACTCTTCCAGCCACGGCAAATTGATTTAATTACATTTGTGTGCCACGAGGGACTGAGAAATAGGGCAAGCAGACAAACTTTGTATTGCCTTTTGGCAGTCGGAATACAGAATAAGGCAGCCTGAGGTTTATAGTTCAGGCAAGGAGTTAGGAGATTTCAAAAGTTCAGCTCTTAAGAAATACCAGCTATTAAACGCTGTCTGAGTGACCTGTGCATTTGTAAATCAGTCACCTCCACAGCATACTCCCTGAAATATGAATGCATTGAATCATTGCCGTACATCTGGCCTCCAGAATTGACTTGAGCTAACAAAAATGAGCAACTTCCAGGTTGTCAGATCTTCGTAGGGCATCACTTCCTGCACATATGCACTGTACCAGGAAACACTGCCCCGGCCACTCCCTGTGTGCTACGCATGAGTGTTACATGTAGTAAGTGCATCTGATGTCACTTCCTGAAGGACATTACGTTAGTGACATTTCTTGCCATCGTGCGAAGTGTACAGGAAGTGATTTCAGTGATGACCAGACAACACAGCTGTCAGACATTTCTTTTAGCATTTTGCTTAGAACACAGTTGCTGAGATATTGCAGCCAGACAACCTCTCGAATAATGATAATAATTAGGTTGCCTCGTACAATAAAATGATAGCCTTATTGCCTCTTCAGTGAGAATTTTATCGTCCCTTGATAGCAAGTAACCAAATATAATTGATGCGAAATGAAAGGAAGGTTGTTACATAGGCAAATGGGACAGCTACAATGCTGAGAAGTTGAAATTTGAGAACAATTGACTAAAATTTGAAAGGAATCCTTCTGTGTCGCTGTTGAGGCCACCAGCTAAAGTGGCTGACACAATGTGAGCCATTGCATCTGCTATTGCTCCACGTGGGGCCTGGCAATCCCTAGGGGGAGGATATGTAACTGCAGACTGCTCAGCTCACCACGTCAATGATATAGACTTTGCGTGTTACCAGCAGTGCTGTTCCGCTCAAAATAATATGAACACAATGAACAAGGAAAGGCTGTTTGGCACTTCAATCCCTCCACAGACCATGACATTCGACCCCATTGTGGACTCTAACCCACCCACTCTACTATCTCCTGGGGGAATGATCTGCAAGAGAAACCCTGTATATATGTTTAATCAATGTATATCTTTTGGGGGTTGTAATATTACCTGTTATAGATTATAACAGGCAATATTATGATCTGAAGTATGGGAACCACAACAGGATACCTCAGTGTTGAATCCTGACATTAACGGGATGTGCTCCTCATGGGAACTCTGCTCCGATACAATCTCTTTCCAGGCAGGTTGGAACAGAATTCCTAAGGGTCAGCTGAAATTGCACGTGATTACCAGCAAGATTCAGGATTCTACCGCTGACCGTTTAGCGATAGTGTGGTCTATTATGTGTCATGTGTAAATAATGTGTAAACCTTTTAACTAAGGGCATTGAACTGACCTGAGCTGAACTATTCTGAATTGTTCTTCTTGCTACTGGATCTCTGAGATCTTTGTGTGCGACAACAGACAATGTAAACTGCTGCCAGCGAGGTTGTTTCCAGAGGGTGATGTAGTGGCTTTATCGTTTGGCATTTACTGAATTGTCTCAGCAAAGCAAACAGTTGATGTAACTCTCATAAAATCCCGCGGCTAACAATAGCGCTGGAAAAATAGCCAAATATATTGTTCATTCCTCCCCCAACACCACCATCACCACCACCATGTCCTGTTTGTTCACTGCGACTCTAACTGCACAAGGGAATCAAAGTGTGGCCGGTCAGTGAAGGAGACACTTGGAAATACTTCATGGAGCACTTTGGACAGACAAAATCCATTGGGATGATTAAACGTGAGCTAGATAGATACTTGAACAGTAAAGTTATTAGTGGATATAGAAAAAAGGTAGGGAATTGAGATTAAGAGATCTGCAATGTTCAAATAAACTGTATGAACAGGGCTCCTCCTGTTTCTATATTCCCAATTCCCAGAGTACAAACTCAGCTAATAAAGGATATGAATAAGAATCTGAGTTGATGAAGTCAGGAGTTTGGGGGAAAGGTTGATAAGGGGAAGCTAGATATGGGAATGATGAATGATGTTAAGGCTGGAGTCAGTATTTCGGAGACAGGAAATATTATTGGGGTTGATATTAAGTTGCATACAGGCTGTGAGAAAATTAACTTGAAGAATCTGAAGGAATATATAACTTATAAATTATAGTTTGATAACTGTAAAATATGACTCACCAGCTATTTTGTAGCTTAAACAAAATCAATGAAAGGAGACGATAAGGTGGACGTAACTATGCAGTTTCCACTTGATAAATTCAAAGCAAGAGGACACAAACATAAGATAGTCACTAGCAGATCTAAAAGTGAGTTCAGGAGGAACTTCTTCATGCAGAGGGTGGTGAGAATCTGGAACTCGTTGCCAGAAAATGTTGTTTCAGCAAGTAACATCAGCGCACTTCAGAGAAAACTTGATGCATATATGAGGGAGAAGGAAATAAAGAGACATGGGAGAGGAGATTCGGAGTGGACTATTTGAGTTGAATGGCCTGTTACCTTGCTGTAACGTTCTAGGTAAAATAAATCTGTATGTTTCAATGCCAGAATATCATGGCAGGTCTGTTTGAGAAAGGTCATCATCATTTGATGCATCTATAAAGAGAGTTTGAAGAGGGAGGAGATTAATAATAATAATTTAGTGACTCAAACCACGACTGTTTGTGGGATACTGCTGTGCGCAATTGGCTGCCGCGTTTCGCCCACAAAATATACAGTCGATCCATTTTACAGTATATTCTGTGTAGCGCTTTAGACATCTCGAAGACGTGATAAGGCACTATAAGGTGATAAGGCTGGCGTGGAGTCCTGTAGCTCAGTGGTTAGAGCATTCGTCTCGCAAGCGAGAGACCTGGGTTCGATTCCCGGCAGGGCGAAACATTGGGCAAGTTTCCTTACTCTACACGCCTGATAATAATCCCTCAAGAAAAAAAAATAATAAATTGGCCACTTCAATCCACGACTGTTTGCGGGACACTGCAGCAATTGGCTGTCGCGTTTCACCCACAAATATCTAGTCAATTTACGGTATATTCTGTGAAGCGCTTTAAGACGTCTAGAAGATTATTATCGTTACGGTTATTTGTGGGACATTGCTGAGTGCAAATTGGCTGCCGCATTCTCTCACAAAACACACAGTCACTCCACTTTACAGTGTATCCTGTGAAGTGCTTTGGGATTTTCTCCTGACTTGAAAGTAAACCAAATGTAGGGATTATTATTATAACATTTGGTGCTACCTAGGAAGGGACTAAATGTTCAGCACCAGGAGTGAGGTACTGGTGAATCTTATGAGGGAGGAGGAGTGCGGCGTTTCTCGTAGGAGTGAACTTGAT